TGGAGGTGTCAGGGCATGTGGTGGTGGTGTGGTGGAAGTGTCAGGGCACGTGGTGGTGGCATGGTGGAGTGTGTCAGGCACGTGGTGGTGGCATGGTGGAGGTGTCAGGCATGGTGGTGGTGGTGTGGTGGAGGTGCTCAGGGCATGTGGTGGTGGTGTGGTGAGGTGTGTCAGGCACTTGCAGGCAGGGGTGGAGGTGTCAGGCATGTGGTGGTGGTGTGGTGAAGTGTCAGGCACTGTGGTGGGCATGGTGGAGGTGTCAGGCACGTGGTGGTGGTGTGGTGGAGGTGTCAGGGCATGTGGTGGTGGTGTGGTGGAGGTGTCAGGCAAGTGGTGGTGGCAGGGTGGAGGTGTCAGGCATGTGGTGGTGGTGGTGGGGTGGAGGTGCTGGGCACGTGGTGGTGGTGTGGTGGAGGTGTCAGGCACGTGGTGGCAGGTGGAGGTGTCAGGTAGTGGTGGTGGTGGTGGGGTGGAGGTGTCAGGGCACGTGGTGGTGGTGTGGTGGGAGGTGTCAGGGCACTTGGTGGTGGCAGGGGTGGAGGTGTCAGGCATGTGGTGGTGTGGTGGAAGTGCAGGGCACTGGTGGTGGGCATGGTGGAGGTGTCAGGCACGTGGTGGTGGCATGGTGGAGGTGTCAGGCATGTGGTGGTGGTGTGGTGGAGGTTCAGGGTATGTGGTGGTGGTGTGGTGGAGGTGTCGGCACTGGTGGCAGGGTGGAGGTGTCAGGCATGTGGTGGTGGTGGTAGCTGTCAGGCACGGTGGTGGGCATGGTGAGGTGTCAGGGCACGTGGTGGTGGTGTGGTGGAGGTCAGGGCATGTGGTGGTGGTGTGGTGGAGGTGTCAGGGCATGTGGTGGTGGCATGGTGGAGGTGTCAGGGCATGTGGTGGTGGCATGGTGAGGTGTCAGGCATGTGGTGGTGGTGTGGTGGAGGTGTCAGGGTATGTGGTGGTGGCATGGTGAGGTGTCAGGCACGTGGTGGTGGCAGGGTGGGAGGTGTCAGGGATGTGGTGGTGGCATGGTGGAGGTGTCAGGCATGGTGGTGGCAGGGTGGAGGTGTCAGGAGTGGTGGTGGCTAGGGTGGAGGTCAGGAGTGGTGGTGGCAGGTGGAAGTGGTCATGTTTCGTGTGGTGGTGGTACAGGACGTGTTGGAAAAGCTTTTGAGTACAGTAACCTTAAACTTGTACTGATAATGAATTCTGGTGTAGCCACATTACTGTACAACTTGAGGAAGGTTAAGAGTACATTGTAGAATAAGAATATGGAGAGAGAGAGAGAGAGAGAGAGATATATATATATATATATATATATATATATATATAAAGCTTGAATCGCTTGTTGTATATGAACCCACCTCACGTTTCTTTAGTTTTAAAGTGACGCAGACTCATCCAAAGTATTAACAATCAACAAGCAAATGCACGGCTGCGTACTGAGCATGACGTCACGTATAGTTTCGCAGTAAACACAGTGATACTGGGGCAATACATATTAGGTTCAGGCTTACAGCGGTGAAAAAAATAGTTTATTGTGATGTAAATTCTTCATATTTCTGATAATCAGGTGACTTATGAGTGAAGTAGAACTAAGTTACTTACGGAACAAGCAAAGAAGGAACAAGTTTGGAGACTGCTTCATGCATGTTCAATAGGGTCGAAAGTCCAATATATATATTGGTGGAGCGTCGAAAATGTTGGGATAGGGTAGGCAGTGGTTGTTGTTATAATGTTATTACAGCGCTTCAACAACGAAGCTCGTGAAGTGATATGTAACACGGTTAGTAATACACTAGGCTGTGGAGCACATGCCTGAAAAAGACAGGAAAGTGGCTGCTAGAAGCACTAGCATAAGTGTGGGTCGAACAATAGCGCCATCTATGAGCTGCCACTAAGTTGTCAGATACTTCCAGATACATTGTTGCTAGATATTTCAAGATATTTAATTACATGTACTACATGTACTGTACCTGTACCACAATATACATTCTGGTGCACAGTGCCTACATTATTATGGTTCATCAGTGTGGTCCACCATGGGAAAACTAGTTTTATCAGTTTTATCTTCATATTACTATTCAAATAGTTTACGTATTAGGTTATTTTTTGCCCCGTTCCTTTTATTTCATATTATACACATACTGTATATCTACAGTATATATTTTTTCTTCTTATATATATTCAAATATAAGTCTCAAGCATGTATACATGTTCATACATCTGTTTCCATTATAGGACACAGATGCATATCATCCACCAACCGCACAAGTCTATAAAATTGAATTGAATTTTGTGCGTCTACTATGAGGCGACAAACCTTTGGCAGAGCCTCTAGCCAACTTCCATTGAAACTTAATCACACATCGAAGGAGTCTCTTTCTTGTCTTCCGTATAAATTATATAGTCTTTGATACATGAAGGACAAAATCTCATACCTGACTTCTCTGTGCTGGTGGAGCCAATCAGTGGCCATGTAGTGTGCCACCTAGGCAATGTTTATCACTCGGCCAATCAACTGAGTATGTATACAACACGAGCCAGCCGTGCATACCCTGATTACAGTGATCTTAAAACTTTCTGCAAGTATCTTGTGATATAGCCAGGTTGTGAATGTTTTAGTGCTTCCAATGAGTAACGACATTGATATAGAAGCAGCTGGTCTGTCGTGGCCATAAGAGGGATGTGAGCAACAGTGGCAGAACGACCCAAAACTGGTAGTGGTAGGAACCTTTGGCCCACCTTGTGCTGAAGGCTGTTGCGATAAGGGAACAAGAACTGGTGTGGATTCAATATTTAGATCATTCTGGGAGATTGGTGACTGTGGACTGCAGAATGTTTGTATAGAGAAAAAATATGGCTGTTGTCCCAATAAAACATAAACGAATGAAAGCTGAGGTTACCCAGTGTTACAACAACGTAAAGTGTGTGTATGGAGGTTTCTGTGCCATGCATGACTTAAATGTATGCCACAAGAAATACCATAGGAAAACTGATTCACAATTAAATAATACAAAAGAAGAATCATTTGTCATCCTAACTTAACTATTACCGAAGACTTTTAAAAAGTTACCTGGTAATACTTTTACAAGAGGTGTGCGGGTAACAAGCAACATTGTGAAACTTCAGTAGAATAAAACTTTTTGTTGTTTTAAGGACATTCCAAAATTTGTGGAGGAATAAATTTTTACCAAACCTAACCTACTCCTCCAAAAAACCCAATAAAATTAATAAAATCCAAAGAACATAAGAAATCAAACCTAACACATCATCATATGAGAGTTATTGGGTTTTTAGTTTTGTGTTAGGTGAGGTTTAGTAAAACTTCGTTCATCATTTTGGAAGTCGAGAGCCTCAGAACATTCTGGTGTACAGAAATAATGCTGAGTCATTTCACATCGTTCGTGTTCAAGTAAATCTTTATTATATCCTGAAATAACCAGTCTAATATAGTACCCGTAAAGTGCACCTTAAAGCACACAGAAACAGCTCTTCAAGCAGCAAATCATCGTCTGAATCTTCCGGTAAAAGAGTTGTAAACAATCCTGAAATCGCTTCGATAAGTAAATAGTTTTTAATGGCCAGTGATGTTCGTAAAAATTCAGATATGTACTATATAAAATGCTGGTAAATGTGTAAATTATAATGTACTTTGGACTCATCCTCCTCCGGCAGCCTCACTGACTTGACTCCGTCCCTCCCTCCACCCTCACGATGTACGCCGCTGGCTCCCTCGATGCCCCAGCCTCCCGTAGCTATTTTAGAGTTAGGGAAAATGTCTTAAGTGGAGTTTGTGTCTGAGCCGGAATAACATTGGGTGATCCAGAATAACAGTGGAGATATTAGAATGACTGACGGTTGGCATGGTAGAATGGCAGTGGGTAGACCAGAATAAATAAGTATGCAAGGCAGAATGATTATAAGCCAGGATGATTGACAATGGACAAGCAAAGAATAAATGATCGTAGGCACGTATGAATAAAAGTGGGTACACCAGAATGACTTTGGGCATGACAGAATGACAGTGGGCAAGCCAGGACGACAGTGGGCAAGCCAGGAAGACAGTGGGTATGCCAGGAAAACGGAGAACAGGCCAGGAAGACAGTAAACAAGCGAGGAAGACAATGAACAAGCCAGGAAGAACAATGGGCGTCCTGAGACATGTAGAATTCTCCTCACTCCTATGGACTGGTAATGACACAAGAACCTTCGATCGTCAGCTCTAATTCAGTCAAACAGTGCCGGTGGTGTTGACTGAGGTGGTGGTACAGGTCAAGGTAATTGGGGTCACTGGGAACTCGAAGGTCACTAGATGTGTGTGTGTGTGTGTGTGTGTGTGTGTGTGTGTGTGTGTGTGTGTGTGTGTGTGTGTGTGTGTCAATAGGGAGATAACAAACACCCGCTGGCCAGAAAACTTCACACTCTGGGTAATCTGGTATTGTAAATAAACTCAGTAATATAATAAGAGATGTTATTACTGCTCCTAAGGATAAGCACCAAACTCAGTCAATTCTCTCCACGATGCTGGATAACGAGACGCGCTAGTGTGTGAGTCTTCCTTGTTCACATTGTGGGCAGGTGTGTGTGTGTGTGTGTGTGTGTGTGTGTGTGTGTGTGTGTGTGTGTGTGTGTGTGTGTGTGTGTAGAATATTATTGTGTTTGCTTGTGTGTCTGTTTGTTTTGCTTGTTTGTATGTTTTATGTGATTTTTGTCTTCATACACATGGAATTGATGATAACATCTTCAGACTTGTTGACCCTGGCACTTATAAACATGTCTTTGTTGACCTTGGCACTTATAAACATGTCTTTTGACCTTGGCACTTATAAACATGTCTTTGTTGACCTTGGCACTTATAAACATGTCTTTGTTGACCTTGGCACTTATAAACATACATTACCTGTATGTTGACTTAAGCACACGTACTAGGTTTAACACTAACATAGTCACCGAAAGCTTATCCTTTCGTCTGAACAAATTTGGCTTCGGCTCGATAACTCTTGGTAGACTTAGTGGATCCATTTCAGTTTTAGTGTGGGAGTGGATTTTGCGGGTCTTGCTTGCGACTGTTGGACGTACTGCTGGGTCTTGCTTGCGACTGTTGGACGTACTGGCGGGTCTTGCTTGGCGACTGTTGGACGTACTCGCGGGTCTTGCTTGCGACTCTTGGACGTGCTGGGGGGTCTTGCTTGCGACTGTTGGACGTACTGGCGGGTCTTGCTTGCGACTGTTGGACGTACTGCGGGTCTTGCTTGCGACTGTTGGACGTACTGCCGGGTCTTGCTTGCGACTGTTGGACGTACTGCGGGGTCTTGCTTGCGACTCTTGGACGTACTGCAGGGTTTTGCTTGCGACTGTTGACGTACTGCGGGTTCTTGCTTGCGACTGTTGGACGTATCTGCGGGTCTTGCTTGCGACTGTTGGACGTGCTGCGGGTCTTGCTTTGCGACTGTTGGACGTACTGCGGGTCTTGCTTGCGACTGTTGGACGTACTGCGTGTCTTGCTTGCGACTGTTGGACGTATTGCGGGTCTTGCTTGCGACTGTTGGACGTACTGACTTGTTTGCGACTGTTGGACGTACTGCTGTGTTTTGCTTGCGACTGTTGGACGTACTGCTGGGTCTTGTTTTGCGACTGTTGGACGACTGCGGGTCTTGCTTGGCGACGTTGGACGTACTGCGGGTCTGCTTGCGACTGTTGGACGTACTGCGGGCTTCTTGCCACTGTTGGACGTACTGCGGGTCTTGTTTGCGACTGTTGGACGTACTGCGGGTCTTGCTTGCGACTGTTGGACGTACTGGCGGGTCTTGCTTGCGACTGTTGGACGCATCGTGGGTCTTGTTTGCGTCTGTTGAACTTACTGCGGGTCTTGCTTGCGACTGTTGGACGTACTGCGGGTCTTGTTTTGCGACTCTTGGACGTACTCGCGGGGCCTTGCTTGCGACTCTTGGACGTACTGCAGGGTCTTGCTTGCGACTGTTAGCGGACGTACTGCAGGGGTCTTGCTGCGACTGTTGGACGTACTGCCGGGTCTTGCTTGCGACTGTTGGACGTACTGCCGGGTCTTGCTGCGACTGTTGGACGTACTTTCGCGAAGGTCTTGTTTGACTCTTGGACGTACTGCAGGGTTTTGCTTGCGACTGTTGGACGTACTGCGGGGTCTTGCTTGCGACTGTTGGACGTACTGCGGGGTCTTGCTTGCGACTGTTGGACGTACTGCAGGGTCTTGCTTGCTTGCTTGTACTGCTGCCTCTTGTCATTTTAACATTTATTGACATTTTCTGTCGGGGATACACCTTTTCCCCTGGCTCTTAACTCACTCCAACACAGTAACTACCGGAGAAGTTTTGTTACCTCGAGGGAAATGAAAAATAACGAAAATTACTAGTTTATATATTAATTGTAATGTGGGAGGGGGGGGGGTACTAAATTTTAAAAACAAGGAAATAATAAAAATCAAGGTGTCAGCCAGACCAGACCAGACCAGACCAGACCCTCTGCCGCTGTACACACAATCAAAATAGTACTGTCTTTACGAATGGGTCAAATGAATTTCAAAAAGAACACTGAGGCTCCTTTTATCTCTGCAGGGTTGTCAAAATCCTTCGCTCCTTGTGTCATATTATCTAACACACAAGTTTAAAGATACTGTTTAAGTGACCTCAAGTCTAGCAAGTCTCACGAACGCATTAACACATAACAAATGGCTTACCTAAATTGAAATTAAGAAGACGGTCATCTTAGGAATTGGTCCTTCGGCAAGACCATTAAATACTAAGCCCAGTTATTGTACTCAGCGCCAAGTGAGGGTGAGTGTTTAGAGAAGGTGATGAGACCTTGTGACTTGTTTGTGTTATAGTGAGTAACACACACACACACACACACAAACACACACACACACACACACACACACACACTTCTCTTCATGGTTAGACTTATGAATGTTAATAACTGTCTTGCCATAGAAGAGGTACAGTAGGGGAGGGGGAGGGGGGTTGCTGTTCTGTGTCTGAGCCAACCGTAATTTAGTATTTTTTATTATGTACAGTAAAACAAGTGTGTGGCAGTTATTAAAGAGACCGAGACAGTCATGTTAGTTTGTTGACCGACTGTAAATGTTACCAATTATGTACAGCGATATTTTTGTATTTATAAAATGAAGTCTCGATATTACGTTTTTTATATTAGAATTTTTTTTAATGTTTTAATTGAAGTGAGATGATTAAATACATTTTTTTATATGGTTAATGGTTGGTTGAGAGTGTTGGGCACGTTTATGGCCCTACTCTTACCTTCCAGTAATGACGGTAATTTGTTTTTACAACGTTAGAATGAACTATTGCAGTGAAGGGATACAGATATAACAGTTTACATAACTTTATCCCAGGACGTGTAAAAGTTAGTCCATAAAATTGAGCCACAACTGGGATTTTTATAGGAAATAATTACATTAAACTGAAAAGGTGTTGTTGATGGCGTGTATAACGGTGAGAGGAACAGCTGTTTGTGGTTGTGTATATAAAGGCTGTGTTGTGTGATGGTTGAGTTATGACTACACTTCATGCTTCACTCACAGGGATATAACTGTTTTTACTCATCAACGTGTTTCTCTTACAGGTACGGTGGTTCCTGATGCTGTTTTAAGGTAACTGCCTATTACTGTAACTGCCTCGTATTGCCTGTTATCATGGTGCCATCGTCTTCCAACTGTCATTACCAGTCCCAGAGTTTGCTTCTTTCCGGAGACTTTTCTTTTGATTTCTTACATCATAAAGTGTGACCCAGTGTCTCAAGGGTACAGCAGTAGTTCACTTGCCTCTCACTACACCTTCCCGGGTTCAATGCCCGGGTAGGGTAAGGTGTTCCAGTAAGACTCTCTCAGACCTGGCAGGCTTTCCCCGGGTATTCCAGTTTCCACCTGCACTAGCACTGGACGCGAGAGGACAAGCTCACCCGAAAAAAAAAAAGAATGGGTGGATTATACAAGTCACCGGCTTCCATTCTCGTCAAAGTGTTTGATTAAAGAAAAAAAAATTACAACTCGAATATAAAAAGTGATCCTACTTCATATATATCCCCCCCCCAAAGAGACACTTTGAACTCTCTCTCTCTCATAGTACTCTGTCAGTATTGTGTCCAAATTACAACTATCCAGCTTAACTCTTTACAGGGCGAGGGCTTCTCTCAGCTGAATAAAATCGTGTAGCGTTATCCGGAATAAAATACCCGAGGGCTATAGTGTCCTGTACAGGGTTAAAAACTGCAGGATATATCGCCCGGACAAGCAAGAAAAAAAAAACGGAGTAACGACTGAATACTCCCACTATCAGAACTAATAACCTCGGGGCACTCGATTCACACGACACCTTGGGACAGAATGGGGGGCTGTATATAGCACTGTGTCAGGCCCGAAGGAGAGGACTAGACTCCCTCTTGTATACTTACCCTTGTATACTAACCAATAAGTTGTGTAGTTTCTCGTGTGTTGGCGTAACATATGGCCACGGGCACGGGGTTACCCTCCACCTGTTGAATGATAACAATCAGAGGCTCAGGACACCTTCCCTTCCTCCCTCCATCAGTTTAAGATAGAAAAATTTATTCCAGATATTGGTAGATGAATATACAGTCAGCCGGGGGAGTGTTTATGAAGTTATGGAAATATATGTATATAAAGTGTTCATGGTAGTATTGTCATGGTCACTCTCTCTACAGGGTCTTGTGTATGTTCATCTGTCTTATCTAAAATAGGAAACATTACTGCACCAAATAACTTAAGTTAGGACAGAGAATTATGAAATTATTGGAAGTGTGGTGAGGGCCTGGCTGGGGGTTCTCACTATCCACGACCCTGAGTCATAAAGGTTCACGGTGATTTTCTCTCGTTACTGGAAATATAATAATATATCTAACAGGTTAACTTAAGCTAAAACGTAAGATATATTTCCAATATGGCAACAATTACACTGAGATTTGACTAGATTGTTCACTCAGCATCAGACGAAGCTAATGTTTTTGTATAGTTTCGCCTCCATTCATATATTGGTCTAAATATATATTTATGTTTTAGTGGTGTGTGTGTGTGTGTGTGTGTGTGTGTGTGTGTGTGTGTGTGTGTGTGTGTGTGTGTGTGTGTGTGTGTGTGTGTAAGCCAACTCCATCAGGAAACCCCCCGGGGGAGCTGTGAGACTGAAAGATTTATTTACCTCAACAAGACCAAACACCGCACCAGGAGTCAGTCAATTTAACAAAAAAAGAGAAACACGTTAAATGTATTTTGCATTTTTAGTTATAATTTCCTCCGTGTGCTCAACAATAATTTTTTTTTGTCTTTTATTAACATTAATCCGTGTTAATACCTCTACTGTGTGAGTTATGGCCAAATTATGGGACGAATATGATTTATTACAACTGTCAGACTGAAATAGAAGTTGTGAGTGAGGGCGGCCGATGGTGTTGTGTTTGTCATTGAGGTGTTAATGTCTTTCTTATATGCACATAAAGAAGCAAATTAGTGGTGCTCCAAGGTTCCGTTTTGAGGTAACAATAATCTTTCTTGGAGGATGACGCCAGAATTAAAAAAAAATCTTATACTTTTAATTTTTTAAGTAATAATAATAAAAAAAACATTCCATCAGTTGGTCAAAGGAAAAATCCCCCGCCTTAAAAAACAAAATATATACTAAACGGATATACTGGTAATCAAACAAAGAAGTTGCATAAATTACCACCAAAAAATCACTTCCGAAATAAAATAACGAGGATAGGAGAGGCCCGCGGTGTCCACCCCCCGCAGCCTCTTCCAGTTAGACTCTTGAAAGAGCCTCAGAGGGGTCAGGTGAGCGGAACATTTTAATTAAGTGATTGAATGACCGGTAGAGTGTAAGGAAGAGCGGTGTGTGTGTGTTGAAGGAGGAGAAGCAACATGTGTATCTGGGTACTTGGCCGTGTTTTATAGTCACAAATTTTATATATACATTACTGTACTTTTAATGGTTAATGTATCTGTACTTAACATCTGTAACGGCACCTGTTATGCATAAATCACCTGTACTGTTACCTGGACGTTCACTATAACACATATTTATCTATACTTGTGCCAGTGTTTAAATCTTCCCTCACACCTGTATATGGGCACCTGTGCTTAGTTTACCTGTACATTACCTATAGTTTAGTAGAGTATCGAAGCGTAAGGGAACCATTTAGACGGGTTCTTATATCTGTGTCGTAGTGTATAACAAGTGGAGGTAGTTGGGGCCCCCATATCACCAGCCAGGGTTTACTTCTCATATACGAACCTTTGTACACTGGAGAAGTGGTCGTGTTGGTGATGGTCTGGGATAGTTTACGTTAAACCGTCGGGTGTAAACTGGCGTGTTGAATTTCAATTCGTCTCGTTTTAATTAACTCAGGAGGGTGAGAGTCTACTGGTACAGAGGCAGATACAGTTGCCGGTACAGGTACAGATAAAGCTGCAAGTACAGGTACAGCTTGAGGTGCAGATAAGAGATGTAATTACAGGTAGATACAATTGCATTTACACAGGTCTCATTACAGTGCCCTGATAAATACCCCCCCCCACACACACACCGAAATAAATAAATAAATTAAAGACAAAAGAGTTCTAGATATATATATTTTTTTTAGTTTATTCCGTGGATTTTTTTTTTTACCATGGAAATACAATAGTCGGTTTTATTAATGAAAATGTCACAAATTGTTAAGGTTACTGGATTTTTTTTTCTAGGATATACAAATTCCCAGGAAATGGTTATACTTATGGATACTAAAATAAGGATTACCTGAAGAATAGGCACCCCAGCTCAGACCACCAAGCTTGGGAGAAAAATGGAACAGGATGGAAATAATTTGGGTAAGGGGGCAATGTGGTCAGAAGGCAATAGGTCCGCAGTTTATTTCACGTGATTAATAAACACCTTAACGCTGCCTGGGGAGTTAAGTTTGCGTTAGGGTGATCACTCATAGGGTAAAATAAGCTAGAATACCTCATCTCCAGGGCCCTAGAAATACATCATTGAAAAGTTACTTACTATTAAATGACGTGGTTAGTGTCCAGCCCACCCTATTGATGGTTAACGTACATAATGGTGGTACAAGGAGCCGAATATAATCACTATATGAAGAAGACTCAACTTATTAAACACCAGTGGATTGATACCGAAGCTTCTTGAATCACTGTGGGCCATTACCGTCACCTGTCATTCTCGTCTGTCAGTACTCTCCCTTGGTAAACTCTCCC